TATTTGAATATATATAAAAGAGGTCTACAACTAAATTTTCATCTGACAAAGAGATTCTAAAAACTTATGGGTGAAATACAAATCTTAAGTAGAATTAGAAAAGAATTTACTAATATGGTATAAGAAAAGAAAATTTTTGAGATTTATCAATAATCAATGGGTTAGAAATGGGAGAAAGAAGGCTTAATCATTTAAATCCAAATTAAGTAAGGAGACAGTTTTAATAGGGAACTTAGAATACTGTTTTCTATAGTATTGGAAATTTATTATTAGATTAAATTATCATGAAATACTAAAAAATAATTTAAAATTTTGATCGTATTCAACTTATCTTATCCCCTATCTTTATCATTTTTCTTTTTATTATGAAATTGTTTAAAAAATAATCGCTCTAAAAAGTGATCTAATTATTCTTATACATCTTCTAATAGTAAAGGATCTTTCATTTTTGATTAGAAATTAGGATCAGTCAATAGTTTTTTTATAGAATCCCAATCTTAAAAAGAATAACAACGCGTTCAAAAGTAATACATAAAATTGGTTATGGATTAATATTACTTTTAGTTTCAAAAATATCATTTCTATTAAGATTATTTAGTGCATCTCTGGCAGCGTTCAAAGTAGGAATAGCTTCTTTTATTATTTTATCTGTTTCAGCTTTAGAATACTTAATTCGAGATATATATTCATTAACTTATGTTTGTTCATCTGAGACAAACTATTTAACTCTATTTGCTACTTAATCATTAATGATAACTGTTTGCCTCATGTAATTTATGTAATCCTGAAGATAACTTAGTCTTATTTTATTATGACTCTTCTTTTTTCATCATTAATAAAGTCTTATATAATTCTATTAAATAAAGATAAGATTTCGGAGTAACATAACCATTTCTTTTAAGAGCAGCATAAAAATCATTATATTTTCATTCAACACTTCAGTGAACATGAACACACATTTAATAAAGATTTTAATCTAATATGTCTACTTAAAATATCAATATGAGTCATTGATTCTGTTATTACAATAGGTTCACTTTATCATTCAAATAAACCATTCCACATCTTCTTGCTTTGCAGGTGATACCACTGCCAAAACTAAAAAGATCATCATTCTTATTTAAGTCTTCAATTTAATACTCTTGCCATTACTTAAACATAGAGTAATTGAATCATCCAATATTGCGTTCATCTTTTCGATCCATAAAGCATCCACAGGTATTTGCTTATCCTCTCATTATATTAGATGCTAAATCATCAGTCCATTATTAAGTCATTATATCAAATTACCCATATAATTCCTCCATTGATAGTGCAGGATTCTTAATCCCTTACTAAGAAAATTACTCAAATAATCTAATGCAAGATTCTCTAAGTATATTTTCAACTTATGATTTTCCACCAGTTGTTACTCCTACCAATATTACTCCAAATCTTACTTTCTTTGTTTCATCGAACTAAATTACCTTTTCTATAAAAGTGTCTTATTATTATAATTTATTAAGATCAATAACATTTTTTATTACTGTTTTTAATTCTTTGCTTTACACTGTAAGAATTTACAATGATTTTACTCACTCAGTTATTTGAACTTATTTGATATTGTTAATCTCCTAATAATAACAATTTTGGAACTTAAATTCTAAAATTATACATAAAAGTTTAAAAAAATCAAAAAAACAATGTTTTTAAAAAAGAACAAATTGTATTGTAGATCTCAACTTACTAATTCAACAATACAATTTAACCATCTACCTTGATAAATCTTTGGCATTTGAAAATCCTTCAGCATACAACAGAATTTCAGCAATCAATCTATAATCTGGAACCATCATCGTATACTTATTCTGCTATGACTGATAATCAATAAAAATATATTAAATTCATCTCCACAATATGTTATCCTGCAAATAATTTTTCCATCATATTAAGAGTAATTTATTTGGAACAATTAAATACTATACAATATCTTCCCAAAGTTTTGGCTAAAATCTTTACATGATTCTGTTTTTCAAGTACCAGCTACCTTATGGTGCTACTCCTAATTTAATGCCTAAAGCACCTGTAATAGTCATCCAACATCTATCAGTCAAAGGAGTAATAACTAATCTTGTAGTAGATCCCAGAAATTAATAGTCAAACATTCACTTATTTTACAAGTACAGTTTTCCTCATCATGATAAAAACTCAATTATTATTACCATTTGAAATCCATTATACCTTCAACAGATTCATTTCTCATGTTATCTACAGCATCTCTCAAATGACAATGCCACAAAAGTTCTTCTTTATAATTCAGTAAGATTTTCTCTAATTAATAATGTTAATTAATCAGGCATTTTACATTAGCATCATACCAATCATCTAAATCATCTTCTATATCTTCTTATAAAAAATTTTCTACTGTTATTTAAGTCAAAAAAAACATTGAGAATCAAAAGAAATAATAATTTATAGCAGAAATTCATATACCCAATCCTTTCTCTATGTATCTAATTAATATTTAATTAAAGATTATCTCATGACACCACTTAAAGAAGATTTCATTTTATCTTCTTAAAGTTGTTAACCAATCTCCAACTTTTCCTTTTGCAGAATATCCCTTAAGTACTGCAATTTCTCCTTCAGCAGTTATCATTCTCATGGCATTTTCTATTTTCTTAGGAATCAAATTGAATTTTTACGAAGTTTTCAAAACAGTTTATTCNTTGTTTAAAAAATAATCGCTCTAAAAAGTGATCTAATTATTCTTATACATCTTCTAATAGTAAAGGATCTTTCATTTTTGATTAGAAATTAGGATCAGTCAATAGTTTTTTTATAGAATCCCAATCTTAAAAAGAATAACAACGCGTTCAAAAGTAATACATAAAATTGGTTATGGATTAATATTACTTTTAGTTTCAAAAATATCATTTCTATTAAGATTATTTAGTGCATCTCTGGCAGCGTTCAAAGTAGGAATAGCTTCTTTTATTATTTTATCTGTTTCAGCTTTAGAATACTTAATTCGAGATATATATTCATTAACTTATGTTTGTTCATCTGAGACAAACTATTTAACTCTATTTGCTACTTAATCATTAATGATAACTGTTTGCCTCATGTAATTTATGTAATCCTGAAGATAACTTAGTCTTATTTTATTATGACTCTTCTTTTTTCATCATTAATAAAGTCTTATATAATTCTATTAAATAAAGATAAGATTTCGGAGTAACATAACCATTTCTTTTAAGAGCAGCATAAAAATCATTATATTTTCATTCAACACTTCAGTGAACATGAACACACATTTAATAAAGATTTTAATCTAATATGTCTACTTAAAATATCAATATGAGTCATTGATTCTGTTATTACAATAGGTTCACTTTATCATTCAAATAAACCATTCCACATCTTCTTGCTTTGCAGGTGATACCACTGCCAAAACTAAAAAGATCATCATTCTTATTTAAGTCTTCAATTTAATACTCTTGCCATTACTTAAACATAGAGTAATTGAATCATCCAATATTGCGTTCATCTTTTCGATCCATAAAGCATCCACAGGTATTTGCTTATCCTCTCATTATATTAGATGCTAAATCATCAGTCCATTATTAAGTCATTATATCAAATTACCCATATAATTCCTCCATTGATAGTGCAGGATTCTTAATCCCTTACTAAGAAAATTACTCAAATAATCTAATGCAAGATTCTCTAAGTATATTTTCAACTTATGATTTTCCACCAGTTGTTACTCCTACCAATATTACTCCAAATCTTACTTTCTTTGTTTCATCGAACTAAATTACCTTTTCTATAAAAGTGTCTTATTATTATAATTTATTAAGATCAATAACATTTTTTATTACTGTTTTTAATTCTTTGCTTTACACTGTAAGAATTTACAATGATTTTACTCACTCAGTTATTTGAACTTATTTGATATTGTTAATCTCCTAATAATAACAATTTTGGAACTTAAATTCTAAAATTATACATAAAAGTTTAAAAAAATCAAAAAAACAATGTTTTTAAAAAAGAACAAATTGTATTGTAGATCTCAACTTACTAATTCAACAATACAATTTAACCATCTACCTTGATAAATCTTTGGCATTTGAAAATCCTTCAGCATACAACAGAATTTCAGCAATCAATCTATAATCTGGAACCATCATCGTATACTTATTCTGCTATGACTGATAATCAATAAAAATATATTAAATTCATCTCCACAATATGTTATCCTGCAAATAATTTTTCCATCATATTAAGAGTAATTTATTTGGAACAATTAAATACTATACAATATCTTCCCAAAGTTTTGGCTAAAATCTTTACATGATTCTGTTTTTCAAGTACCAGCTACCTTATGGTGCTACTCCTAATTTAATGCCTAAAGCACCTGTAATAGTCATCCAACATCTATCAGTCAAAGGAGTAATAACTAATCTTGTAGTAGATCCCAGAAATTAATAGTCAAACATTCACTTATTTTACAAGTACAGTTTTCCTCATCATGATAAAAACTCAATTATTATTACCATTTGAAATCCATTATACCTTCAACAGATTCATTTCTCATGTTATCTACAGCATCTCTCAAATGACAATGCCACAAAAGTTCTTCTTTATAATTCAGTAAGATTTTCTCTAATTAATAATGTTAATTAATCAGGCATTTTACATTAGCATCATACCAATCATCTAAATCATCTTCTATATCTTCTTATAAAAAATTTTCTACTGTTATTTAAGTCAAAAAAAACATTGAGAATCAAAAGAAATAATAATTTATAGCAGAAATTCATATACCCAATCCTTTCTCTATGTATCTAATTAATATTTAATTAAAGATTATCTCATGACACCACTTAAAGAAGATTTCATTTTATCTTCTTAAAGTTGTTAACCAATCTCCAACTTTTCCTTTTGCAGAATATCCCTTAAGTACTGCAATTTCTCCTTCAGCAGTTATCATTCTCATGGCATTTTCTATTTTCTTAGGAATCAAATTGAATTTTTACGAAGTTTTCAAAACAGTTTATTCAATATGGTTGAATAGCCTTGATATTTTTATAGTTTGATAATACTTCTAAAAATTCATCATTTGATAAAAATTAAAATCTTTAAAATACATCTCTTTTCTTTTCTAAAAATTCATCTAAAGCCTTTTAAATAACATCAAAAATATGATTATTTTCTTTCTACTTCAGGTCTAATTCCTTTTTCAAATCTAGATGCTAAAATATTATCAACAGTTAATAATGCATCATTAATTTTAGAAATAAAATCTTCGTTATTTCCTCGAATAAAAACATCTTTTGATTCTCTATATGGCTGTACAGTAAAATAGCAGCTGATCTCCAAATAGATTCAACCTGTTCTAACATTTTAACTAATTATATTTCTTTTGCTTCTCTTAAAGAAATTTCACTTAACTTGTCTTTGATTTAATCTAAGCCAGCCTAAATAATCCATAAAACATTATATTTAGGATCATTTACAGGTGTAGATGGTTCTAGAATAGGTTCCTTCAATAATTATTAATTTTCAAGTATCATTATTGCACTTATTTGATTCCATTATTTCTCTGAAATTGCAGGATCCTTTAGTGCTTATAAAACTTAATAGACTTCTATAATTTTTCCATTAGATTATTCGTATCCATCCAAATTTATATCTGTATAATGTTATTTAACCATATTGAATAGTTTGAAATCCATTCATTTCTTCAACACCACAAACCTTTCTAATAAAGTGAATTCATTATTAAATGTTTCTAATTTCTCAAATGGCGTATATTCAAATATTTAATGCTCTTTAATAATCATTCTATTTTTTAGCATGAATCTTTAATTCATCTACTTATTTTCTTACTCCTTTACGAATATCACTATATCTTTTAAATCTGCTGCTAAAGAACTTAATCGTTATTCTGAAATTCTTTCGTTTAATTCTTTAACTGTGTTATTTATATATGGAATCATTCTTTTCATATCTTTTCTAAACTTATTTAAATATAATCTTAATTAGCTATAGCATCATCAATTTTATTATGAAGTCAACTAACTTATTGATTACCTTCGGCAAATTTTTATTTGTGTTTATCTTAAATTTTAATAAGTATTCATCCATAAGTAATGCCATAATGTTACTTCTTATGATATATTACTTAAATCTTAAAATTAATTATTAATAACATTGACAACCTCTATGTAATTAACAAATTATTCAACTGTTATGTGATATTGCTATAATTGAATACTACATATATTCAGGTATGAATTCTATAATTCTTAAATGCAATTCATAACAATGGATTTAATCATGGCTTTTAATTTTTGATTACCAAACATAATCATACAATCTCATGTGTAGCATACCATTTCATAAATTGTTTTAATTTTTCAGCATATGATTTTAAATAATCAAATGCAATTACCAATTCTTTTACTCATTTAAAAACATAAAATTTAAAAATGCTTACTTGCATTTATTATTGCTTTAATTCTACTTTTTCTGATTGTTAATTACTTTCAACTTGAATATACTTAATCATTTCGGCATAGATAACATTTCTCTATATACAGTTGTTATACGAATAACACTATTAGTAACTACACTTTCAAATATTCTGAATAATTATTCTCTTAGAGGATTAAAAATATTTCTTCTTATTTACCAATTGCCTCAATAATTATCCAACAGTATGGTTAATCTTTACTATAATATTCTTTCCTTTTTCTTCCTGAACTCTCCTTATATTATTCGTTAAACTCAAGAACTTATTTAACAATATCTTCAACTGAATTCTACATCATCTATAATTGAGCATCAATTATTATATAATAAGCATGTTTCACAAATTTGCTTAATCTTAAATAATGAGTTCTTATTGTCGCCTCTGTTGTATATGGCATATCTTTTCTTGATTCATCTCCTACTAATAATGAAGCTCTTTCTTCATAATTGCTGAAGTGGAATGCGATGAATTTCCTTAAAATTTACTAATGATTGCTAACAACATTCTATAATAGATTATTTAATCTGTTATTTATATGCATCAAATTTAATATCCATAATGGAGATTAAATGTTTATCTTACAATTATTTAAAATGTTTATGGAACTGTAGTTGATGTATCTAAAAATCTTCTATCTTAAGCCATTTATTAGCATTTCCTACGAACTACTAATAATGTGATTCTTAATTATTTATCAGTTGAAAATATATTTGAAATCATTAAATCTTAAGTTTTTGCAAGAATATTTTCCCTCATTAAGAGATTCTTCCATAATTTATATTTTCTAAAAAAATCTATTTTTAACGATCTTAATATAATTTCGCTTTCCTTCACAATTTCTCAATTGTTAAAAATGTAGCATCATTCATTTTATAAATAAGTGATACAGCATTAATAATAATTATCAATATTTATACCTTTTGCACTAATTGTCATATATTCCTTTGGATTTCTATCCTCAAATTCAACTATTTAATAATCATAGGCATGAACTCTTTTATTTAGATAACAGAACTCATTGACCATTTCTGGATATTTTCTTGCCAAATAGATAAAAATGGGAGACAAGTANCTCCTTATATTATTCGTTAAACTCAAGAACTTATTTAACAATATCTTCAACTGAATTCTACATCATCTATAATTGAGCATCAATTATTATATAATAAGCATGTTTCACAAATTTGCTTAATCTTAAATAATGAGTTCTTATTGTCGCCTCTGTTGTATATGGCATATCTTTTCTTGATTCATCTCCTACTAATAATGAAGCTCTTTCTTCATAATTGCTGAAGTGGAATGCGATGAATTTCCTTAAAATTTACTAATGATTGCTAACAACATTCTATAATAGATTATTTAATCTGTTATTTATATGCATCAAATTTAATATCCATAATGGAGATTAAATGTTTATCTTACAATTATTTAAAATGTTTATGGAACTGTAGTTGATGTATCTAAAAATCTTCTATCTTAAGCCATTTATTAGCATTTCCTACGAACTACTAATAATGTGATTCTTAATTATTTATCAGTTGAAAATATATTTGAAATCATTAAATCTTAAGTTTTTGCAAGAATATTTTCCCTCATTAAGAGATTCTTCCATAATTTATATTTTCTAAAAAAATCTATTTTTAACGATCTTAATATAATTTCGCTTTCCTTCACAATTTCTCAATTGTTAAAAATGTAGCATCATTCATTTTATAAATAAGTGATACCTTTTGCACTAATTGTCATATATTCCTTTGGATTTCTATCCTCAAATTCAACTATTTAATAATCATAGGCATGAACTCTTTTATTTAGATAACAGAACTCATTGACCATTTCTGGATATTTTCTTGCCAAATAGATAAAAATGGGAGACAAGTAGGATTATTATTATTGTTTCTTCTTTGGTTTTATGAGTGCCTTTTTAATCATTTAGGTTTTCTTTCTTTTTTCAGGAGGATCATTAATGGTAGAATTACTGTTTTGCACATCCTTTAAAATGCACATTCCATGATCATTTAATAATCTATGATCAAGAGGTGATAATTCTTTGGTTTCTTGAACTAATCTTATATTAAAATGCCGCTTTTAAAGTCTTTAGTTAATTATAATAAGATGAGTCAAGTATTAATTATAAATCATCATTCACTTTTTGTAGATTGATGTCCTGAACGATCTAGCAAATTTCTACAGTTTTGAATGGTTACATTGCCTATTTTTAAAGGCAAAGTAAAATATTTTATGAAAAATAAAGCCTTAAATTATTACATTTTAAAATCTGCTGCAATATTTCATACTAAAAAGCACTCATAACCAAATTATATCAAATCAATTGTGAATTAAATTTCATAACCTGATCATTTCAATTCACTATATTTTGTGTACTTTATATTACTAATATCAGTAACATTATTCTCTTAGGAAACTTCAAGATTATCATCTTTAAAGTTAATTATGCTATACTCTTTTACACTTGGATTGCTTACTTCTCAAAATGATAAATCTATGATTTGTTAATATCTAAATAAAATAACATATTTTCATTTAATAAAAGCAACTTGATTTGCAGTACAGTTAAGCAATAGCTAATGAATTAATCGACATTTTAAATAGCAATAAACTGTGTTTTATTATTGTAACTATGGCATCTAAAGCTAAAACTCTAAACTCTAATGCTGCAAATTGAGCTTAAAGGACTCTAATTTCTGACTACAAATATTTTCAAACCTCTGTAGTTAGTTATTCTTCTCTTTTTATCATAATATCAGTTATGTCTTCTGATTTTCTTTGTTAAGTTTTTAACTGCTGATTGAGTTTGCAAATGTCTTTTCTGATTCTATATTGTCATTTTGTTATGGCTGATAAAAGAGTTTTTTAGTGAGTGCCAATGAAAATATATGCCAAAATAAACCAACTCATGACAGCTACAATGAATGTGTCATCTATTTTAATTTAATTTTAAGATAAAATATTGATGATATTAATTAACTCTTTTTATCCCATCGTTCATAAGATACATAGTACCAACATCTATTTATTTAACTATTCAGGGGAATTTAGTTTATTCTGTTGAATTTAAAACCTTCATTTTTAAGATTTTATTGATTGGTTTTAAGTTGATGCAACTTTTCTAACCTAAATTTTTATTTGATTTACAATAAATTCAAATTTGCTATTTCACCCATGATTCCAAATACTAATTTATATTCATTAGGAAAAACTCTCCAATAGTACTATATTGCTCAGTTACTTAGTTGTGTTGAAATTTTAATTCTTGCTAGAAGTCCTCTTTATTTGAATTTATTCAAGTAAAATCTTAATTTATACCAATGTTTTTATTTTATATATAAAATTTAATTACAAAAAAAATTCATCAATGTATTATTTCAATTGAAAACTCATTTAGTTTTTGGATATTAACATAATTTAATTTAATTTTTCAAATTGAAACTTGTTTAGTTGACATGTTAACATTGTTATATTTACATTGAAACTTATTTTTTTTTTGTTTATTAAATACAATTATTCATTTTTTTATATTAATTATAACATATTTTGTTTACTTATTAATAAATTATCATATTTCTATAATTTAATTCTTTTTCTATTTTAATGATTTGCTGATTTACTTCTCTCATGCATTCATACATCATAAATAAACTTTTATACCTTAGCTAAATAAGTTAGATGTAAATGAAAACAAAATAGAAACTTGTTTTAGAAACCTTTTAATATTAGCATTCAAAATATTAAACTGAATTTTTAATTTCTATACAGCAAAAAAATTAGTGAAATATTTCAAGCTTCTTTAATAGAAAATGTTAAATTTCTTGCAAACTATTCTCTAATGTTAATTTGAAATTCTAAATTTTGATTTATTCTTTTAGAATGTGATAGTATAATATTTACTAATTCAATCTATAATTTTGCATCCTTCTTAAAAAGTTAGGTTATAAAGGCATTATTCAATTGTCATTAAGTCTGTTATAATATATATTTTCTCCATCAAAAATAAATTAAAGGTAAAAAATTTTCAAAAGATTTTAATACAATTGTAGATAATATCAAATCAGGACTTATTATTGCTATTTTTATTAAACAATATTTTAAATTCATTGAATATTTTCTGAAATAGTTTCAATAACTAAGACAGTTTAATAGAAAGATTAAAACTCTAAAATGACAGCAGTTTCAAGGATTTCAACCTAATATTGAATAAATCTTTTATCATAATAAGAGTAGCTGCTAAATAGTTTTCTCTGATATAAGCTCTTCTAAAAGGTCTAAAAATTAGAACTAATTGATTTTATTTAAATTACATAACCATCCAGTGACATGGCGGAAATATGGAAAGGAAGGTAGAGCTTAAACATTAAAAGTTCTTTTTAAGGATTTTATGATTGAAAGAACCACAAACTGATAAAACAAAAAAAGAATCTAAACAAAATAGTAAGATATAATTTACTGATACTCTCCTAATTATTAAACAAAGCAAAAGAGAGAATATATGAAGAGAGTACAATGCATTTGATAAGTTTGAAATAAGATCAATATTATGGAATGAAAGCAAAGACAAGGTTTGGAGAACTTAAAAATATTAAGATTTTCTTCATAAAATGATAATTATGTAGCATCTCATCTTTTTAGATCATGTAAATCCACTTCATGTTGTGAGCAACGAAAATTATTTTCAATTCGTGAGAATGGAAGAATTAAACTCCAATTCTCCACTCTCAATTTCTAATTACAAATTTCATCAATTTCCATTTGAATATGTTATTTTAGTTGAAATCTGTAAAAAAAATTATATTTAGGAAGGTTACCACAAAGGATTATCTATTTTTAAGTTTAACTCATAATTATCAGAATTAATAAATATTATTATTTTTTTAATAGAAATAGGAAATTTTTGAAAAAATGTTCTATCCTGTTTTTGATGATGAAGATATGAATATAATTAAATAAGATTTGTTGGGGAATGGGTCAGAGCGATAAGTATACCTGGGAGAAATTATAGGTACGAAGCAAAAAGTAGCAGTGAAAGAATTTAAATAATTCTTGAATAAAGAATAAATTGAATGTTTGCATCGAATACAGGATGCTTCATTTAAGTATATTATTAGGATTTAAGAAATAATTCTTCAACCTAAGTAAATTCAAAATATAAATGTGGTAAGTGGGAGTTAAAACCATATCTTGAACCCTTTCTAGTTATGGAATTTGCATAGTGCAATTTTAAAAAATACATGGAAAATAAAGAATTTTTGGAATTGGAGATTCATTAAAAATATAAAATATTCATTTAGGTAAGAATTATATCTTATTACTTTAGATGATTGAAGGAGTAATGCAATTACATAGCTTTAATTATTTTCATAGAGATATAAAACCTGAGAATTTTGTGTGTTGTTTTATGAAGAAAATAAAATTATTATCAAGTTGACAGACTTTGGCTTTGCAAAAGATGAATTATATAGAAAGTCAAACAACTAATGTTGGAACTGCTTTATATATGGCTCCTGAAGTAAAGAAATAAAGGAAAAAATAATATGATTAATCTATAGATATATGGTCAATGGGAGTTATTTTGTTTGAAATTTTAACAGAATAAACTTTATTTAATGAATAAATTATAAATTAATTGGAAGAAATTGAAAATGAAGAAAAGTTATAGTCGTGGGTAAATTTAAATTATCAGTAAATAAGATAAGAAATTTTAAATATCAGATGAATTAATTAAAAGAATGATAATAATGAATTCTGCTGATAGAATAAAAGGAAAGGAAATTATCTAAAAAATTAATAAAATGTAAAGTGAAGGTGAGAAAAAGATGTTATATAGAACAAAGCATTACAATTAAACCCCAACTATGTAAATGCTTATAATAATAAGGGTAACAATTAATATTTGATATTAATAACATTAGGCAATTCCTTACAAAATTTAAAGAGATATAAAGAAGCTATTGATTGCTATAACAAAGCTTAATAAATTAACATTCATTTAGATTAAGCCAGATTCAATCTAAATAAATTATAGAAGTAATTATCATAATGACATGAAATAAATGATCCAATTCATTAATTATTCGTTATTTTTCTAAATTCTAATTTATAAATTATCTTACAAAATTTTTGTACATCCTATACATTTAGCATAATATTTTAATTAGTTTTGTTATTTATTTTTATAATTATGCCAAATCCATCAAAAGGTTTGAAATTTTTTTTTTACCTCTCCACAAAACATAGTTAATTATTTTTCTATCTACATTCAAAGTTAATTTCTAAAGGATTTAAGTTCTCCATCATTTATTCAAGAAAATCATAATAATTTTTTAATTATAGTTTTATTGATACTGCTTCTTTTATCAACAATAACAATTTAACTTTGTCAATCTCCTTCACTCAAATACCTAGTCTACAATAATTTAATTTGCTATTAATATTTAAGCTATATAATTGATTTTTTCCATTTCTCAGATTATTAAATGAATTAAAAAGCTAAGAAATTGTCGATATTATTTGAGAAATTTTAATTAATTTTAATATTATCTTCATAGAACAATATATAAAGAGGTAAACTTTCTTTTTCCTTAATTTCAACATCCTAAATAGTCACTATGATGAAAGAAACAGCAAATTTCATAGAATATCATTTTTATTATTTATAATTTTTCTCCAATTATTTCAACCCTCATTTTCAAGGTACCGACAGATATTTATAAGCTAGTTAATCCTACCATCAGTAGATTTTATCTAATTATTAAAGTTTATCATAATATTACCATTAGCTATAATACTTACTATATTTATAGCATCTCAGTAAATTTTTTTTTTTCATATTTATAAATTGATTTGATGAGCTCCATTTATAAATATTATCTCATTTGGATAAGGCTAACGAAAAGAGCCTGGATTGTAATTTTCAACTTTCAAGAATTCAAAATTAGAGAAGGTTTATTTCACTTTATCTATTTTATCATCAAAGTAAAATTTCCTCATCTGGGCATTCTTCAATCAATCTCTTCTCTCAATACTTTTTGGTTTTGGTTTGCTCTTGTATAATCCTTTTACTCTGGTTAATATTGTTGAGATTCTTTTATCATTAAAATTAACTAAGTAATCATTTTTAAGTAATAAGGATTTTTCTAACTATCAAATTATCACCAAAAGCAACTTTATAATTGGATTATGTTCTAAAAATTAAAGCAAGTAATTCTTTATTTCTCTTGACACCTTTCATTGTCTAACTTACAATCTGATAAGAAATGGAACTTGTTGGTTAGTTGAAACCATAGGATATTGGAATCAATACTGTTATAAGTGTAGAATTACTAAGATAATATTTAAAATTCCTGCAAACTTAGCTGATGTAAGTTAATAATTTAAATATAAATAATAGGTGAATTGATGAATATTTTGAAATGAAGCATACAATTAGTGAAGAAGAAAGCAAAAATAATCAAATTAAACAGTAGATATCTTATAATCAGGAATTTCATTCGATAAAATTGTAGAATTAAAACTAAAATTCTTAAATAAAGAATACTTAAAAATGCAAAGAAAATAAATATAAAAAGATTAAGGATTAAAAATTAAACAAGAATTTACTTAGATGAATGAAAGTTTGAAGGAAATCAAATAAGAAGCAGTTAAAATTATCTAGGGGTACTAAGAAACAAGAACAAAAAAAAGCTAAACTTGAAACGCCTATTGATTATGAAATGTAAGATGATGGATATGAACAAGAAGGAAATGCCTTTATGAAGTTAATGAAATTCTTCTTGTCACCTAATATGAACCTCTAATTTAAAATTCAAGTATGGAAAATAATATATGAAAAATATATAAAAAAGAATTCCCATATGAATCTAAAACATGTAGTGAAATCAAAGATACAAGATTCAATTATATTTTTCAACTTAAAAGTCTAAGCAGATTTACAAGGAATCCTCTATTCGTATATGGAGAAATAAAGTAACTCGCTTTTTGGTGGATGGTCTAATTAATGATTAAGATTGAAACCTAATTAAAGAAATAAGATTCAAGTCTGATTAGATAATGCTCATGTGATATATAGAATATGCAATATGAGATCCATTACTTTTTGGTGATAATTTAACAGTTAATCCACTTAATTTTTATAGAGGTAGGGGTGTTATAAAATTGTACAATCTATCTCTATGACAATAATAATTTTATCCTAAAAATAAAACAATGTAAAATACTTTAGATTAAGATATTCATCACTCATTAAAATTCAAAAAATAAATTCGAAAAGGATAGTGTGAAACCAATTAGAAATAACTAATAAAATTGATTCAAAAGAATTGGTTGAATTAAAGCATTGAATTGGGCACTAAAACCAAGCAATTCCATCTATTTTACTGATTTTTAATAAATACATAGATTGTATTGAAGGAGATGGCTGAAATTCTGCTCTATAAATGACCACCAATCCTATCAAATTATAAAAATAGTTGCGGAATTATGGTAAATTGGTTAGAAAAGTTACAAAAAATTAGATTAATTAGAAATTCTTTGTATATGAAAGGGGAACCACTAAAATAACATTTAGAGTAAATGACTAAGTAGAAGAAAATTAAAGAAGAACTGAATAAAAATTGTTGCAATGAAAGAAAGCTTCTGAATTATAAGTTCAGGAAGAGTTCTAAGCACTGATTGATCATTTACATTTTATCAATTCTCCAGTTGGCTTTGGTTTACATGCAAAAAATGCAGAAATCATTTATTTCTTGGGTTTTCGATAAAATAGACTCTATCTTAAAAAGAAATACACAAGATATCATTTAAAAAATTAAATTTTGATTATAGAGGGTTTACAATTGCAAGATTTAATGCAGTAGGCCTCGTTTCGAAGCTGATTTAAAAGTCAAAAACATTTTAGTCATTTGATTCTTTAAAGAGTAGCCATAACAATATATGTTGATTATTGAAAACAAATGTTGCTTAAATATTCAAAAAAATATTTTTAAATATTCTGATAGAAATTATTTGAGGATTACTACCTGTATCAAATATTCCTTATTAAATTTTCTTTTTATTCTTAACATATTGATTATTTTTTTGTTAACTACTTCATTGTTTTAGATATCCTTAACTAATTTTTTTTATTATTACAATGAATATTCATATATTTTTCTTTTATTATTTAGATTATTTGACGTTTCAAAGAGAATTATAATTTTTAATTTTGATTTATATAGTTCTAGTTATTAGGTAATTATAAGGTATCAATAATAAAATATTGCTTAATCTGTTTATTATGCTATTATTTCTGGGATTTTCTATGCTTCAAATCAAAATTTATAAGCTTATACTTAAATTTTATATGATGAATCAATCATCCACCAAAATATTGAATTGATTTAAGAATTACATTACATTAAACCTATTAAGGGGATAAACACATAATATCTAAAATCATAAAACTTTCTTTTTACCTTCGAATTTTAATTTCTCCTAATTCTTATTCAATTAGTAATTCTATTTCTCAATTTATCTTTTTTACTACTAAAAAATTAATTAATCTCATCCATTTAATTTAAAGGGCACTAAAAAATTGTGGGTGGCTAAATTATGTATTTTTTTAATTTAAGGGTATGCTTTATTTAGAGGAAATTAATAAAGCTTTGCATAGCTTTTTAATAACCTCTAACTTACCTTGGCATCATAATTTTATAACAACTGAAATTTCTTACATTTTATAATTTCTTAGCCAAAAATTCCATCAATACAATAAGCATTATCATGAGACACTAGTTTCTATAAATCTTTAATTAATTCTTTGGGTAATAATAATTAAATATTTTAACATACTGCCTAAAGTTTCTATTTTGTTTTGATTATAGGGATTCTAATTCTATTTTTTGAGATGACTTTTTTCGTTCTTAAATTTATTCGAATATAATGATAGATTTCTTAGAAATTAGGAATAAATTAAAAGATTATTATAGTATTTAAGAGCAATATTAAAATTCTTAATTTAAGTAACAAGTAAGTAAGCACAACTACTGAATGATTTAATGAATATGAAGTATATGATTAGAATAAAAATATGACAAATTTACAAAGAGATTAAAAGAATTGTAATAAAAATATAAAAGAGTAGGAGATTTGATTTCAAAATTACTTATTGAAAATAGTTTGCTGGTTAGAGAAAATTAGAGTCTTAAACAAGAGATAATAAATTTAAAAGTTTCAGCAAAAATCCTTTAATATCAAAATTTGTTAATTCTAGAGTTGATCAAGTAATTCAATGTCATCCAATAAATCATTTTATATGCTCTAAAACTTATTTACTATAATGTTAGAGATAACTGATAAAGATTTTTAATAATTACATTCAACTAAAGAAGATAGAATATTGATTATTTTATTAATATTATGAATAAAGTGGATTTGAAACTAAATGCATCTTCTTTAATAAGAAGTAAGTTAACTTCAAGAAGTGAATAAAGAATTCAGATAAATACATTAATACATTTGGTTACAATTTTTTGCTTGCTTTCATTCTACAAATATCATTGATATTGTCTATTTTATTAAGAGCTTTGGTGTTAGCAACTTAGAAGAGGGCAAATCCAGCTGCAGTCTCTATTAATATTTACCTATTTAAATATGAATAAATCGATGTCCATATATTAATTATTTATAATGGGTAGCTACAACTACAAACAATTTTATTTTGAACAAATTTCAGCTCAAAGGAAGGCTCCACAAAAATAGCAATTGCTACGATCCTAACGAGCAACAATATACTTAATAGCTCTCACTATATTTTGGCCTTAATTAGTGCCTAAAGTTTCTAAATGTTTCTCAAATCCAAATAACCCTAATACATAATTAATAATCTATTTGCTACAATTTATTTCTAGGGTAAAGGTATATTGGAAAATTTCAAATCTTCATCTCTTTTTTCTATTGTTTGTTTAAATAAATCAATTTAGTCCTCTATCCCAATCATGATATAATTTTTTCTGTCTTCTATGTCTTGTGCTCAGTCTGTAGATACATTTTTGCATTGATTGGTTGCTTTTCTCCAGCTCTCTGTTTTATTGCTCTCTTCATCATAATGTGGTTTTCTATGTATGTTCCTCAACAGATTACTTCAAGAACATCTCTATATGTTCCCATTTCAAGATTAACAGTAATGGTTTAATACTAATATCATACACAGTAAATTATAAAAACGTAAATTAAAATTTATAAATTACTATGCAAATTTTTCTAAAATAAAGTGTTGTTATAATAAATTTTCTCCCTTCCTCTTTTTATTGTCCTTATGTTCCACACCTTAAGCCTAAAATTTAGATCATATTATTCCTTCAGGTACCCTTATGTAAAGTGTAATATTTGATATTGAAAAAATGCATGGAAATAAAATTAATCCAAGCTCCTCTCCATTCTCATAAAATCAACACTTTTATATATCATCTATTTAATATTCAACTAACACTGATTTAAATGGTTCTTCTCATTTTTCTATTCTTCTTTTAGGGCATCCTCCATTATTTCTTTTATATCTTATTCATCATATACGAATTTTCTTTTCTTTATTAACCTGTTTATTCCCAGTGTTCTTTTGAATAACAAATTTTATTGCCACTCTCATTCTACTCTGACGTGTTTATACCAGCTTTTTGCTGTCCTCTATTTGTCTTTCCAAAATTCCTTAATTATCTTTCTTCTGTCTTGAAAGGCAATCAACAGAATTTAGATTATTTTCTAAAATTAAAATTGTTAATATTTAAAAAAGATATTAGAAAAAAATTTATAAAATGGCCGTCAAATTTCTATCAAATCTGCTTTTTATAAATAAATATTCCTATAATAGTCAAGATAATCTAATGATAAGTAATCTTCTCTTTTCAAATGACTCAAAATATTATACTAAGTTGATAGTTAAAATACTAGTATTTAGAGATTTAGATGGTGACGAGCAGCTTTTTCAAATATTTTACAAATGATGGCAAATTCTATTATCCAAAATTTAAAAACTAAATCCATTAATCCTTTGATAAAAGATTAAAATATATTAAAGTTTTCAGTAAAAATTAAAAATATTACTATTTAATATTTACAATATTTCATAATATAAAGTATTTAGCTATTGTTAATAATAGTTAAAATAATAACATGCTAAGGCTAGCGGAATTAAATTTGATGGCAATAATAACAACTTTACATTAGAATAGTAGAAAAATTTACCAGCATTTTCTGATGATGACCAGATGTAGTTCTTTATTTATAAAGAACCTTAAAAAAAAAAAATAATGATGAATCTTAATAAATAGATGAATAATCTAATTATTTTTAAAATTATGAATAAAAAATACTTATCTTAAGTAAATTGAAAGTATTTAAGAAAATGAAAGCGATAAAATATCAAATTAATTTAGTTTTATATCTTTTGATAACAATGATTCATTTTAATTTAAGAAAATACAAATGATATTATATAAAAATTAATTTGAAGTTTCATATTTTTTGATAAGAATTATTCAATTGAAACCAATTATTTGAACAATTAAAATACACAAAATTAGACAATTAATTTTTAGATAATAAAAACAATTTCTTTACTAAAAATGTGCAGAAAAATTGCAGTAATTACCTTTGATGATGATGGTGATGACGATGATGTGATATGATTAATTCTATTGCTTTATATACAATTGATCTTGAGATAAATATAATTTATAAAAAGAAATAAAACATTGTATTTTTGCAGATTTTAGTTTTGATAAATTTTAGTTTAATGTATTAATAAATAAATATATTAAAACATTTAAAAGTTCTGTAATTAGAGAGCAGAATTATATTTAATTGATATATAATCAATTAGTAAATATGAGAATGAAGATACTATAGTAAAAAATAATATTTCAAATTGGTAATTTTAAACTTTTGAACATCAATTAAATCAAAAAAAAAAGCTTAGTTATCTATTTTTTTGATTTAATCATTAAATGAAAATAAAGTTATTTTGGAAAAAGAAGAGTATTCCTTTACTTAAGTAATATTTGGAAATAATAGTAATCTTTTAGCTGCTAAGAAAGGATGCGAAATTAATTTAATTGAAATTGTAACTGCTGAACCCTTAGACTCTATTATTTAAGAATTAAAAGGACTTTAAGGCTTTCAAAGATAACTTCATCTTCTAATTGTTTAAAAATACATTTAAAATTTCACTGAATTTACTTGTTTTATTTACATATAAATACTTTAAATTTATAATTAGTTGTTGTTTATAACCCATTAATAATAAATTATGGTTCCATACCTATATTAAATTATTCAATTCCTTTTATTTTCATTCTTATACCCATTTCTCATTTACATTCAACCTTTTATTTAGAATGAGTCCAGAACGAAATAGAATTTGACTAATATTATGATTTAATAAATTTTCTTTTCTCAAAATTTCCCAAACTTTAACTATTTTATCTTAAAGATTCTAACTTGCTCTACTTTTTATAAATGATTACTTTATAATATATTATACACTTTAAGTTGAATTTTAAAAAGATTATTTTATTTTTATTCCTTATTTAAGTAATTTCATCTATTAATTAAAATAATTGATATTGAATTCAATGTTGTTATAGAGTTTGTTCATTAAAGAATAGAGTAATTTTAGCATTTTGTTATTATTATTTTTTAAAACTTATCTTAAATTGAACTTAATTAACTTACTAATTAAACACCGAAGATCATAAAAGTTTCTAACAATGAGTTTAATGAATTAAAGAATTAAAGATATTGTGTGCTAAAATACAATGAAATTGAGTTTTCTGGTTAATTCTATAATTTTAATTAAAGAAACTAAGAAAGGTCAATGGAGAAATATTTAAAACATGCAATAATTCTCTTTCTTTTTTGATAAATGATACCTAAGTTTGAATAATTAAATTATATTTTAAAGGCTTTAGTTAATTGATTTTAGGATTAGAAAATAGTATTTCTACAACAAAGATTAGGTTTATATGATAATAACTTAATTCAATTCTATTTTTTAATATAGATATATTAATAATTTTAAATTGTATTAATATATTAACTTTCAAACACTAATTTTTAAGATATTTGATACATATATTCTAAATAAATTAATTCCAAATATTTACAATAATAATTTTTTGAATCTTTACCTCAATTATTTTATGAATAAATAATAAATATTAGGATAGCTATTATTATTATTTAATACTACTTACTTATTCAAATATCTTTGTTGCTAATGAACTATCTTAAGTAATATTGAAATATAAATACGCTGATTCCTTATATAATGCACCTAAATATGGCTATTTAAGATTAGTTGTTAAATGTAAAATAATTTTTTGCTTAAAACAGTTCTAAAACTTATATTAAGCATAACATTTATAATCTTACGGCTCTCTTCCAAAATTATAAGGCTATTTAATCATTGGAAACAAAAATTATTTTTATAATGTCTCTTAACCTCAAACTATATTTTTATTTCATGGAGTTATATTATCTTCTACTTTTTGGACATATATATTAAATATCATATTTCCATTATCAATTGAATTTAAATCTTAATTTACTAATTTTCTAAAAATTATATAAGGATAGAATTGATTTCCAAATCAAAAAATATCTCTTTTCGTAATTTTGTAATTCCAAAATTTTATAATAATTGTCTTAAATCTATTATTTTCCCAACCTTAGTTTACTATCATCTTATGTTATGGGATTCAACAAAGAAGAATAAACGAGCCAACTTTATATGAATTATTTTAATATATAAAAAGAATTTTGATCTGTTCCAAAATTAATGATAACTCATCTGCATTTCATATAGTTTATTATCTTGACTATGAAGTTTGTTTTTTTATGAATTCCTTTAAAGATTTCTCCAAAAACAAAATAAAGCAAATATTTATTAATTTTTTGTTAATATAATTATAAATGTTTGGATAAAAAGTAATTAAAAAAGAAAAAGATTTAGAATTCAAATCTTGGCTTTCACAATTTTTTGTAACCCTAATACTATGTTAGAATAAATCAAATATCTAAAGAATCATTGCTTTTAAAAACATATTTCAAGCAAATGGTAAAATTGATATACAATAACAAAAACATAGTTTTATGTACTAGTAAAACACTTAATCATAAATAAAGAAGAAGCAAAGAGAGTTAATGAATTTCAAAAAAATAATTAGGGGAATCACACTTATAAGGAAATTAAAATAAATTATTTCAGAATATTAATTGCTATCATCTCAATTAAAATAAAATAGACAAAATATCATTAATTAAAAATTAATCAAAATTTATTGCAATGAATAAAATGA